TTATTATTTCTATTTATTATTTATTCTATTTATTCTATTAACCAAAAAATTTTACAAAAATAACAAGAAATTTTCTAATTTTTTTCATTTTGAATATTCCAATTATATACTTCATTGAAAATCTGTAAATTTAAATAATTCAACTTGTCACAAAATATATTTTCTTTTTCATTCGAAATTAATTATGATAAATTTCTTTTTAACTAGGCCCTTATTGGATAAATGGATAAAAAATGCCGATTAATTCAATAATATCATATTTATATAAAATATAATAAATATAATAAATAAAATAAAAATATATATATTTTTTATTTATATATAAAATCTAGATATAACATAAGATTATCAATATCATATATTGCTATAGAAAATTCGCAATTTTTCTTCAATTTCAATTTAATTAAATAATGTATACATCACATATAAAATATTAATTATCTTTTAAATGCAAATTATTTGAATTTCAATAAACGAAATTAAATGGATTTTCTTTATAATAAAATTCTTTAAAATAAAATTAAAACATAAATTAAAACATAAAAATTAATATACAATAATATATAGTATATATAATATAGTATTCATTTATATTACATATACATATATAAACTTGATATTAATTATATTATATTATATTTTAGATTATATTTTCATATCATATTTTATATTTCAATTTCATACTATAGATTAATCGAACGATGATAAAATTCAATAGAATGTTTATAAGAAAATTCATTCAAGTTGGCAAGAGGAATTTACAACGTTATTCAGAATTTGTTGAATTAAGACGGTTCGTGTGTAGACAAAGTGGCTTCCATTATCTTACAGTGAGAGAAGCCAAGATGATAAAACGGTAATTTGGTTATTCGAGATGCCAATCATCAGATACCATCTTTGAATATTGAATGTTCGACAGAGAAGGTGTCTACGCAGTTAAGAAAATTGTTTATCAGACCTTAGCTACGTGAATTAAAATTCAAAGAGCTTAACGTTTCCCCTGGGATACTGGGGATGATGGAGTTACTATATAAAAAGCCACGTGGAGATGGTGGACCGTGCATTCTTCCGCCGATTTCCAATCCTTCATCATACAGGTGAATAAGCTTCTTCCACATTTTTTTTTTATGATAACATGAAACGTTACCTCCGCGTCTCTTTTGTATTTTATATTGTTTCTTAAAATTGTTCGTAAGCTTTCTTTTCTGAAAAATTTAATCATTTAAATAATTAATTATGGATAACTATTTAATGATAATTTTCATCGAATATTTTAATCAATTAATAAAAAGATATTTATTTATTTTATAGATATGAATTTAACTTTTGCCCTAACTTGCGTAATGGCAGTCATTTGGTTATTTTTTGCAAAATGTGAAACAGAAATCGTTACCAATTTGCGTCGAAGATTCCGTAACCGCCCTTTATTAAAAAAGTAAGTATAATACATGATCGATTCATTGTATCGAAATATTAAAATTATATTTAGAAATATTAAAATGTCTTGAATAGTTAAACTTTCATTTTATACATTTATAAATATTTCTTTATTTTTTTTGATAATGATAAATATTATATATATAATTTATAATATAATTTTTAAGTTAAAAATTTAGATATTTAGCAAGTATAATTAATACCATGCTGTTTTTATGTGTTATAATTTAATTTAATAATTTTTATTCAAATTATATACACGTTATTGATAATATTGTAAATATTATGTTTTACTTGAAAACAGTAGTTTGAATTGAAATTTCAATATTAATAATAAATAAAAATGATCACATCCATTATTTTTAAAATTATATTTTTTTCAATAATATTCTCTTTTCTTTTTTTCTTTATTTTAAGGTTATATGATTAATTATTATTATTTTTCTGTTCAGATATAACGTGGAAAATCTCCTTCTCGAAGAAGATGATTTTACAGATTTAAATAAACGACAGCAGTTTGACGATTATGGTCATCTGAGATTTGGGAAACGAGAACAATTTGAAGATTATGGTCATATGAGATTTGGCAGGAGTCACGAGTGATGACACTAATAATTGATCATAGATGCAATTGTATAGTGTCATTGCGGCAAGAGTCACATTTTGTTTAGACTCTAGATAAAATATATTTTACATTGCAAATATCCATTTTGCAGTTTTCCTTTTTTTTCTCCTTTTGTCTTTCTTCCCCTTGAGTTAATAAGAAAAGTTAATTATATTAAATTTAATTAGAAACTAAAAATTGAATATGATTTTCATTTTCATTTCTTTTAAATACTAATTATGAAGTGTTAATCATGAAATTATAATGATTTATAATTATGAAATAAAAAAGTATTATGTTTTTTAAATTTTATGATCATCAAAAAAGGAGTTTATATTATATTATTTTTTTTTAAATGTTAAATTGTTTCTATACGATTAATCATTTCTAAATTTTATGCAAAACGATTTTCAAAATTATTTAAAAAAAATTGAAAGATCTATTTTAATCACTATCTTTTAAAATTATAAAATTATTTACTTATTCCGTTTCCATTTCCTATTATCGAACTATTTCAAAAATTCTTTTTTTTTTTATTTTTATTTTTATATCACTTAATATATATTTAAAGTATTTACATTTAAATTGTAAATACAACAAATAATCAGAATCACTATTATCGGACCCAAAAGGTAATCTATTAATAATAATCAGATTAGATAAATTATTATATTTCATTAGTTATTTTTATTAAAATTATAAAATAATTATATGTGAAAATTAAGAATACTTAAAGAAATATTTTTTTTAATTTATTTTAAATCTGATCTGAATTTTTTTTCTTTTTTTTCTCTTAAAATTAGTTTTATCTAATAAGAAATATTATTTGTTATAATACAAAAATTAAATTATATTAAGTTAGATTAAATTAAATAAATTATTAATAGAAATTTATTATATCATAATGAAAATAATTATTTTTAAATCGTTTACGATATATTAGAAAATTTCTACAAGTTAAATATTATTATTAGAAGCAACTTCTTTTTTTTATTAGACACGAACGGTAAAAAAGAATTTTATTCCTGTGATTTGTTTGCTCTACTATATATATGTATAATAGATATATTTTATAACATTGTATTTTATAACATAGATGTATATTTTAAATACAAATTTCTCATTAAAATCAATTTAGTAATAAATATTACACATATACATAAATATTTATTACATAAATAATTATTTATTCGTAATTTCAATCAAAATCAATTTCAAAAATCTTTTATTGATCACATCAAATAATGAAATATGATAATTTTTGATGAAATATTTTGTATGTTATAATTTTATAATTATTCTTTTTTATTGCACATTTTTTATATTAAAGATGTGAACACTCATGATGATATTTTATAATATCATGTGATATATTATTATAATATCACTTATAATATATTTATGATATATATTATATATATTTTATATATATTTTTAAAAAAAATTTTCTTCATTTCAATATCTTATATACTTCACCTTATAAATATCGTGGAAGTTCTTTTAATGACTAAATATGTAGGTATCTAACTAGAGAACGTTTTACAAGATTATATATTTGTGAATATATACTCTTGTTGCTTAATAGCTACCTTATTCATTCTTCTAACACTGCAACCTATATCAATATAGATATATATATATAATGCAACTAATAATTACATATTATACTTAGTTATCTAGTAACAAGAAAACTATTTTCTAGGAAAACTACTAGGAAATCACTAAACAATACATTATTGTTAATGCTATGTATAATTCCTCTCATTTAAAAGGCAATTTTATACGGATAACGTTTGAAAATATTCAATTGAATCAATGCAACAATCCAAGTGATCGAAAGCTTTCACGTATCATTCTAGTGTGTATATTTTATATTATTAAATATTATTCGATTCAAAATATTAAAAAATCTTTTGATATATTACCATAATATATTATGTTAAAACAAGTGACATTAGAGAAAGTTATAAACATTATTTGGTTCAGTGTAGCTTTAACTTTTTGTTGGCCACTTCCTGCCAATAGTACCAAAATTCAAGTGTTTGTTTTCAGAATTTTACAAATAATTAGTATTATTAATGCTTTTATGCTGATTCTGCCGTTATCATATTCTATCTATTTGCATTATGATGATATTGCCATTGTCTTTCAATCTCTTGCTATATTAGTAGGTTTGTCTCAAATGATTATTCAAACTGTTATATTATGCTTTGTTAAATACAACTCTCTGCAAGTAAGTTTGTATTTATTTTTCCGCATTTCACATAAAAAAATAAATATTTTTACATAGATTACATTATAATTATTTTTACTTTTTTTTTTCGTTATTTTAATATTATCAATCTTATAAAGTAAAATTTAATATTTAATATTTAATATTTAATATTTAATATAAAATATTGATACTAATAAGTTTTTTATATTTTGAATTATCAT